GGACAGGTCCCACGGGAGCTTGCCCTCCAACCCTTTCTTACCTGTAGTTATAACTACTGTACTCAAAATCAACCAACATGAGGCTGTCACCATTTTCTGGCTCGGAGAGCAGTAAGATGTTCCCTGGGGGAATGGGGATTTTGGTCACTTCAGGGCACCCCACCCCCTTCAGCCCGGGCTCGAAGACTCACAAACGTTCTCATACCTTCCTGGATGTCATTGTGGCAGAAGACCACTGGTGATGGGGTGGCCTCTAGCAATTTCCTGCAGAGGCAGAGGGGCAGAGGTTATGAGGTCATGTGACTACAGCAACCTTCAAAGGCTAGCCCTGACCCTAGTCCTCGGCAAATCCTGGGGAGGACACTGCTAAATGCCAGGTCTGCCTTCACCTGAGGTTGCCCATCTCATCCTTCAGGTTGTACATCTCCAGCAGGTTCATCTGGGGGAGGCCCGTGGAAGGCAGGTCCTGGATCTGTTTTAGGTACCTGTAAGCCCCCCAAATAGGATACATTCACTCTCCTATCTTTCCCCATTCTCTTCTCCTATATACTTTTAGGCCACATTTTCCTGTCACTGTGACTTGGCTGGGAAACATGAGCGTCCATGATGGATACTGGGAAGCCTATCCACCCAAACTAGAGGTTCAGTTTAGGTGTACCGGTCCCAAATTTGACTCACCGCTCCATGGTCCCAAACAACCAGTGGGGCTCCTTAGTGAAGGGCATCTCCATACCATGGAAACGGGCCATCTTTGTTGCAATGGCTCCCGACAACACTGGGTCCCGGAGCTCTCGAGTTTTCAATGGTCGGCTCTGTACCCAGTAACCTATCAGGGTGGTGAGGGGGCTGGGGCGGGACGGGGGAAGGGATATGGGGAATGGGAGGAGATCATAGTCTTAGGGAAATTTCCCTACCTAGGATCGGGGAAGAGGAAGGACTTGGTAAAAAAAAAAAAACAATTAAAACTGGGCTCTTACTGGGAGGTACTGTTCCAGGCGGCCCTCTGGAAACACTCCATAAAGTTGGGGCCCTAGTGACCTCTCTGCAAGAATGGCGAACATCACGCTTTCCAATACCAAGGAGTCTACACCCTGGAGGAAGATGGCAAAGGAGCCCAAGTCAGAGAGAGCCGGAGGTAAGTGGGCACGGGTGCAAAGGGATGATTTCTTCATCCATCATAGCTGGCTGGGGACTTCTGGTCTTACTGACTGGGGACTCGGGAGCAAAAGCTGTTGATGGCCCACGAGCATCAACCCTCTCGGATGCACAAGGACGACAACGGTTTCTGCCCCACTTGCTCACTCCAAGCTCCGGCCCTCGCTCCCCCTCACCTGCAGGATGGCCCCATACAGTCGTAGCAGCACCTCGCGGGGCTCCTCGCCCACACTGGGCAGGTGGTTCGGTAGCGAGCATCGGAAGAGCAGGTTGCTAAGGCCTCCGCTGCAGATCCACACCGGTCAGGCTCAGCAAGAGTCGGCCCAGATGGGTGAGACCCCACCCTAGCCCCCACTCCCGAGAGAAGACCTCCCCAAGCCCCCAGGGAGACCCCGAACACCCCCCCCCCAAAGCACAGCGGTCCGCAGACCTGATCCTGGCCCCGCCCCCTCCCCCCCACCCCCCAGCATAGCACTGACAGCATCCAAACAGGGAGTGTCTTGAGAGCCCCGAGGCTGACCCCTGACCTCACGGGGCAAACGCTCAGCTCCTCCGGCTGCGCTCGGCGCCAGGCCCCGCCCAGGTACTCCCGGCACCACTGATAGGCTCGTCGCTGCGCGTCACGAGACAGCGAGGAAGCGCGCCGGCGATTGGGGACCGGCGCTGGGCACTTAGCATCCTGCAAGCTGTCTTTGGTCAGGCAGCCGCCGACAGCACCTCCTCCGGCTACACCGGTCCCGTCCGCCGCCATGACGCGGGCTCCGTTGGGCTCAACGCCCGCCGGTGCTCAGCAACCTTCAGGTGGGCTTCGCTCCTTCCGGCTCGGCTCGGTTCCGCTTCCGGCCGGCCGGAGCGTCCCTTGGGCGTCCTCGCGGCTCTTGGCGACCGTCTTCGGCTTCCTTCGTGGTCCCAGCGCTGGGACTGTTTCCAAGTCAAGCGCCGGTCTCAGGGGTGCGGTGCGGAGGGCAAAGACCGACGGCCGCATTCCCCGGCGGGGCGCGCTCTGGCCACGCCCCGTGGGCGGGTCTCCGTAGAGACCGGCTCCTGCGTGGACTGTGTCCGGAACCGAGGAAGTGACGCGGGCCAATCCGGGGCGCCGTGGACGGTTGGACAGTGGTAGCTCGGCTGTGTTTACCCGGAATCAGGCTCTCTGGCCAATGAATGGGCGATGGGGCCGGAGTGCGGCTCCGGTATGTATAACACCTGCCTTGTGAGACTCCCCACTAGGGCGTTAAGAGTGATCGAGCACACAGGGGCACTTGGTGAGTGAAGAGAAGAATGGGATTTTAAATTCCGGCCATTCATCCCCTTTCCAAACAAGGCAGCGTGTGTATGTAATGCTGGAAGGCGTCATTGGAATCAGTCCGGCGTATCCAAGCGCTGCATGGACTGCATGAGTACTAAGAATGTGACCCAACACAATAAACTTAAATATTATGAAGTGGATTTTTTTTTTCTCGATGTGTGTGTGTGTGTGTGTGTGTGACTTCTGCTAAATATCGGGGCGGGGGAGGCGCAGGGGGGACGCATTAGTTGTCAATCCAGAAAGGAAGCCAACACAATTCATAATTCCTTTGAAGGATGAGGTTTATTGGAACGAAAGGGCTTCAAAGCTATGATTGGGCTTCGGGATGGGAGAGAGAGAATCACAAGGAAATAATAAAATATATGGAGGTCTAAACGTGAGACCTTAAAGTTAAGAAAAGAGTTCCCTTCCAAGTCTAGGGAGGAACTTTACTAAGAGTGTGTGTAAGAGAGCCAGGCGTAGTGGTATAAGCTTTTACTCCCAGCATTCAGGAGGCAGAAACCCAGTGGTTAGTTACCTGTGAGTTCGAGGCCAGCCTAGTCTACATATCGAGCTCCGGACCATTCAAGGCCTGTCTCAGAAAAGAGATGCCATGGGAATGACTAGGGAGTGAGCAGAGGAGCTAACAGAGAGTAGCCTTCAGTGCAATCTCCGGAAACCCCTGAGGAGTTTCTAGACCAATCTCCCAAATAAAGGAGGAACCTAGCCTTTTTGGTTTGTTTTTCCTCAATCTTTTGGGATTGTCAGGAAGTTTCACAGCACCTTACCTAGTTCAACATAGCTAATATGCAGGACAAATAACGTGGAGTCAGGTACTGGTTAGGGCCATAAGTCATGGTTAGGGCTGTTAGCAGTTCACAGCACAGGTAGTTTAACTCTGCCCCACTAAGAGCTGCAGGGGCATCCTGTGATTCAGGCTGTGGGAGCTGCCCTGAAGATGCAGACTGGTGTTCCAACATTACTTAGACCATGAACTTTGTGGAGAGTGAACTTTGTAGACGATAACACATTATGTTGCAATGTTATGAAGTTGGACGTGTGTCTGGAGATATCAAGTGGTGATTTTATTTTTGGCTAGTTTGGAAGCCTGGGGGAGAATTATAAGCTCTGCCTTCTGGGCGGAGGTTCTAGGTGAAAGTGGTTTTGATTCTGATGTCTGGTTGAAGCAGACCAGACTAAATCATTCAATCCGCTTTTTTTTTTTTTTTTTTTAACTTTTTGAGACAGTGTTTTTCTGTGTAACAGCTCTGGTTGTCCTGGAACTTGCTCTGTAGACCAGGCTGGCCTCGAACTCACAGAGATCCACCTGCCTCTGCCTCCCGAGTGCTGGGGTTAAAGGTGTGTGCTGCCACCACCTGGCTCCAATCTGCTTTTTACATAACTGCTTCTATCAGTAAATCGAATCAGATCTGGATTGGCATAGTTTGTCCTTTAATTGTGGTTTATTAGAGGTCAGTTTCTTAACTTGTGAGTCATGACTCTAGGAGGCTGACCGAATGTGGGGACTGGCGAAAGGTTTGGCAACAATAAGGTTTCTGAACAAGTAATAACCAGAAATTAATTTTAAAAATCCGGACATAGTGAATTCAATAGGTTTCCAACCACTAGACAACTTTATTGTAGCCTCGGTTTTGAACATATGGGATGCATACTTCGAATTGTATGTGCTGCCATGCCGCTAAGTGGGAACAAATACCTGAAGCAGCTTGGCTAGGATTTGAGACTATTGGATATTATGGAAACAGTTGGTAAGTGAAGTCGATTTCCTGGCTCTGGCCACATTCTTGTGCATTCTTCCTCTAAGAATAGAATGCGAAGACAGCAAAGGGAAAATGGATAACTTTATTTGCCATATGGAAATAAAGAATTCCAAGGGTCTTGGTGGCAAGACCACTCTGTTCTACATATTTAAAGCCATACTCTCAGAACTGATAATTATAAAATCAGAATATCAATCAATTTTGGAAAAAATGTTTAAGGTGTTCTGCACCCCAGAGTATCAAATATTTAGCCAATGTTTTCGTGTTTTTTGTTTGCTTGTTTTTGTTTTTTGAGATAGGGTTTCTATGTATTGATGTGGCTGTCCTGGAACTCACTCTATAGAATGACTAGGCTGGCTTCAAACTCAGAGATCTGCCTACCTCTACTCCTGAGTGCTCGGATTAAAGGTATGAGCCACCACTGCTCGGCCAAAATTTAATGTTTTATGTAAACATAAGCATGTCTATCTCATTAGGAAACAATTCCCCCCCCATCTTAATAAATGGTAAAGTTGTATGTATTCCTAAAAATTGTTTTTAAGTGTTTTTTTTAAAGGTTTGTTTATTTATTATATTATTTATACAGTGTTCTGCCTGCATGTATGTCTGCAGGCCAGAAGAGGGCACTAGATCTCATTACGGATGGTTGTGAGCCACCATGTGGTTGCCGGGAATTGAACTCAGGACCTCCGGAAGAGCAGTCAGTGCTCTTAACCTCTGAGCCATCTCTCCAGCCCCTGTTTTTAAGTATTTTATGAATTATTACCACGAAATGTTTTATTTATGTACTCCCTTTATATTACCTATATACCTGGGGTTGAGTATGAATTTCTCAGGTAAACAAAGTCACTAGTGGAAAAAGTTGATGAATCTCTGTTAGGAGTAGTCACTCCTACTGTTGGCTTCTCTGTTGCAATAATTTAATAGATTTGACTTAAAGGATCGAAAAACAAGAGAATCTTCAGGAAATATGCAAAACAGGGACTCTTGTGTGGACCTTCAAGAGAAGGCGTATAGTCTTGTTGCCTGCTGGTTTTCCTTGCTTTAGTTTTTCCAAGTAAATAGTTACAGATGGGAAGTTTGAAGTCCACCTCATACCAAGTTTTATTGCAGAAAAAATAGCACAGTACACAAGGTCATAGCTCAGTGAATAACCTGTGTGTGTGTGTGTGTGTGTGTGTGTGTGTGTGTGTGTGAGAGTCTATCTTGGTGGAGCAGAACTCGCCCCTGGGAGTGTCCAGATGGTCCACAGCTCCTTTCTCAAGCTAAACTCTGATCTATATGCAACTGCAGAAAACTGGAGGCAAAAACAATAAGGCCTAGAAGGAATGTCTTGCAAAGCAAAATAAGACCTCAAGGACAGGGAAGTGACGAGGAACTCAGATAAAGGGGTCAAGGAGACTGTTTGCTCAAGTTCTGCTTACAGGGCTGGCTTTAGGGGCTGGGTAAAAGATACATACACAGCAGTGGAAAAATGAGAACCGCTCACTCCTGAAGGGAACCCAGAGTCCCGGGTCCCCGTCTACTCTTACCCTTCTCCTCCAGCCCCTGTGTTGCCCACAGCTGTACTAGCTGGGACAGGTTTTTATATGTTTTTAGTAGGGTGTGGGATAGGGCTGGGTCCCTCTTCTGGAGTTAGACATGGCAGATTGTGGGTTTGGTCATTTTGAATGACTACAGGAACCTGACTAGGTGAGATAAGGCGAGGGAACCTTGGAAGTTTCTGCTTGTATTGGCCAGTATTCAGGGTTTAGTGAGAGTGAGGGGTAGTTAGCCCATCCATCTTACTAGAGAGGAGAAAAAAAGCCTCTCCAGCATGGCCAAGAACATGGAAATAAGCCATCTCAGTTCAAAAGGTAATTAATCAGAGCCAGGTGTAGTGGCACATGCCTTTAATCCCAGCACTTGGGAGGCAGAGGCAGGTGGATTTCTGAGTTGGAGACCAGTCTGGTTTACATAGTGAGTTCCAGGACAGCCAGGGGTGCATAATGAGACCCTGTCTCCAAAAAAGGGGGTGGGGGGTGAGGGGCATGTGATATTTTGAATAAGGATGGCTCCCATAAGCTCATAGATTCGAGCGCTTGGTCACCAGGGAGTGGCACTTATTAGGAGGTGTGGCCTTGATGGAGTGGGTGTGGCCTTGAGGGAGGAAGTGTGTCACTGGAGGTGGGCTTTGAGGTTTCAAATGCTCAAGCCACGCCCAGTGTCTCTCTCTTTTCCTGCTGCCTATGGATCTGGATGTCCAGGTCTCAAGCTTCCTCTCCAGCACCATGTTGCCCTGCATGCTGCCATGCTTTCTGCCATGATGACAATGGACTAATAAGCCTCTGAACTATACTCAAGCCCCGGTTCAATGCTTTCCTTTAAAAAAAGTGCCGGGGGCAAGGAAGCCCCTCAAAACAAAAAAAAAACGAAAAAAAAAAAAGGGGGGGGGGGTTGGAAGCAAAAGGACCCAAAAGGAAGGGGGCCAATAAGAAGGGGGGCCCTGGTAGAAGAAGGGGGGCCCTGAAGGAAGAAAGGGGGCAACGGGGCTGGGCTTTGAGGTCTCAGATGCTTAAGCCAGGCCCAGTGTCTCACTGTCTTCCTGCTGCCTGACGGTCTGGATGTAGAACTCTCAGCCACCTCTTCAGCGCCATGCCTGCCTGCGTGCCCCCATGCTTCCCACCATGATGACAGTGGACTAAACTTCTGAACTGTAAGCCAGCCTCAGTTAAATGCTTTCCTCTAGAAGACTTGCTGTGGTCATGGTGTCTCTTCACAGCAATAGAAACCCTGACTAAGACAGAGGATAATTGGGGGTTTAGGCTGATCGGATCCAGGATGTCTCTCCCTAGCTGTCTACCTATTTACAAATGAACCGTCTCCTGTCTTCCTTCAGTCCTTTGGAACCATGTGAGAGGAAACGTGGGGAGCATGCGCCTGCATGTGCCTGCTGGACGCTCAGTCTGTACAAGATACACTTCACCGAGGAGCAGCTTGGGCTGGTAAACAAGGTGGTCTAGCCTGGTGCTGTGACTGATGGCCAGAAGC